CCCCCCCCCCCCCCCGCTGCAAATGGCGGTGGCAGCTTCTTCGGGTCCGCGGCACATGGGTTCGGAACAGGGGCAGTGCCCCACACCCTGCTTGGGTCAGCTCCGCGCCCACCTCACCCCACACAGATCCAGAGGCACGTGCCCTGCCAGACCAGCAGCGAGAACAGCAGCACGAACCGCTGGTTAAGCAGCCATACAAGCAGCTCGCAACAGCAGGAGCCTCTGCCCCACCCCTCCTTGCGCCCACCCGGCCCTGACTGGGCAGCACTTGCACCCACCCGGCCTCAGCTGGGAATTCACCACATAAGTGAAATGAAAGCCTGGTTTATGATATTTGAACAAGCCACGCCCACACTTGCCCTGCCCCTGTAAGAGCCCTGTGAGCCAGATGGCTTCTTGGGGCAAACCAGGCCTGTGGGCTGCATCCTTGATACCCCTGCCTGCTCCATATTAATAGACTTTCAAAGTGGCCATAAAAAAACAAAAAAGGTTTCAGAGGATGTGTGTGTGGGTGGTGGTGGTTGTTTGCTTGTTGAGTTTTCCCTCCCTCTGGGAAGCTAGTATTTGACATCAGGTGTACCAAGCAAGTATTTCTGGTAGGTCCCATAGGGATTTTTTATTACGCTTAATGCTACTTCAGTATCTTTAGCCAATGATAAGGAAGAAAATATAAAGTCTTTGGCAGCACAGTTTGAAGAAGCTGCATATATTGCCAGTGTAGTAGGTAACAGGATTCAAGGTTTGATCCCTCTAATGTCTCTTCCTTATTTTTTATCTGGCAAACAATCTCAAAACCAAAAAGCACATAAAATGAAAAACTCTGAGCAGTGTTATCTTGTCGTTTCCATTTGATCCACTCTGATCCATCTCTCCCCTTCTTTAAAATTCTTCTCAGAGCAACCACCTAACAATTCCCTGTTGTCCCTTGCCAACTCTGGTACCTTTGCTTTGTTGTTGTTATAAAGACGGTTCATTTTTTTTGTACTCATCTGTATTGTTTGGGAATGTGACCTTCTTTGAGCCTTAAGTGTTTTATTAAGGCCACATGCCATGTCATTCATCAAGGAACAAAGGAGGTAAGTCATACATGAAGACTGGGGGACTATATTGTGGAAAGCATGACTTTGATCCCAAAATATGACTCACTGGCTGAACATACATACCAGCTGGAAGTGGTTGAAAGAGAACATCGTAAGTAGGGGACTATTAAGGAGAAAGCAGAAAGCATTGTTGTTGCTGATGGCATTAGCGAGCCTTTTACTAGGCACTGTCTTCAGTTCTGGTTTTCACGCTTGCATGAAAGTTTGGGTAGGAGCTGCCTGTCACTTGTCTCTAGGGAAGTATGTTGAGGTCTCCTTAGCCTAGTAGACAAATGTAAATGTACTTGTGTTCTTATAGATTCAAATACATCATTAAAGAACAGGGGGAAATTCTGTTTCCCATAAGTGAAATGAAAGCCCTGGTTTATGATATTTGAGCCATACTTGTGCACTTGAAGTTCTCAGCAAAGTCATTGAGAGTCCCACATATGCATCAGAAGGGAAAATTCCCTTTGATTGGCATTCTACATTGTTACAGTTCCAGGACTCATGTTCTGGACTGGAAGCTATTTCTGTGATATTTATAGAAAATTATTTTTGTGTATATTTTTAAAGGCTAGGAATGAATGTAAACACATCTGTCAATTCTTGGTCTGAAATTGCATTTGTGGTTTGATGGAGAGTAAGTCAGTCAAGAACAGACTGTTACCTTGATAGATTTACATGATGACTTGTGCATAAAAGTGTTCTGGATTTTGCAATTTGACTATTGAAATACAAGTAGGTAATCTGATATAAAATGTTATTAAGTCATCTCCCTTGCTATTTCAGAGGAGGGTGTACAGAACAACAACCCACGTACCATGGGAATTAGGACAGATTATGGATTCGGAAACATTTGAGAAATCTCGTCTGTATCAATTGGATAAAAGTACTTTCAGTTTTTGGTCAGGACTGTATTCGGAGGTGGAAGGCACTGTAAGTACTTGAACTGCTTTCAGATTTATACAATGCTTATCTTTTTATCTTTGTATCTTGTATTTGAATGTAAAACATCTGACTTTTAATGTTACTATGCAGTTCTAGGGCCAGTGCTCTCACCAGTTCAGTATAGAAGTGCAGCATTTAGCTAAAATTGAGAAATTTTACTATAACTCTATTATTACTAGCTATCTTGCTGTATTAAATGCAACTTGTTTAGCCAACACAAAAATGGTCACACCATCCTCCTCTTCACAACCCACCCCCCACCACCAGATACGAAGACACTCATAACCACAATCTACTTATTTATGCATTACCTCCCATATTTCCCTCCTAGGAGGTAGAATACAAACAGAAACACATTTTGACCAAGTAGTAATGCATTATCAGTGGAGCTTGCAAGTCTGCTAGGCTTGTTCTGTGCCTCACCTTCCTGCCCCCCTCCACTGCAGCAGTATGTGTGCATTTGTATTGAATTTTTACTTTAAAAAACACAAGGAATACAAAGGTTGATTATACAGTTTTAACTGTCCTCTTCCAGGTGTAACTTAAGTTAGGCCTGTAGTTACATTATTACGTATCGTTTCTTAAATAAAATAATATGTAGCATCTTAAAGTGTTATAGTGGAGAAAAAAGTGAATTTTGTGACAATAAAACTGTACAGTAAAATGTAATCAATGAATTGTGAGTTATAAGGAAGTATACATTGTCAGTTGCCATATTAAATTAGCTGTATAAAAATAGCTTGATATTTATGTATAATTGTGCCTGCTTGATATCACTTACTGCATTTCTATTATGTTATGTCATTTAAAATATCCCTTTGTAATATTATCTTAGGTTTTTACATTTTTATGTCTTTGTGGAGGTGGGGAAGGGTTATTTTTAGGTTAGTTTAACTTAAAGATAAAAAGATAATCATGTTGGAAGATAGTTGCATCCAGTGTTTTGGGAAATTTATTGTTTGAGATCTTTAAGACTAAGTTGCATAAACATTTCATAATTATATAAAACTAAATGTGAAATAAAATATTGTTAAACCATATTGCTCTAAATTACTCTGTACAGAGATTCTTTTGAAAAATATTTTACTTGTTGCAAAAATAATATTTTTACCTGTTGCCCTCAAGAAGTATGGCTCCCAAAGTAACACCTAATTTATATTATAAATCTATTATTAAAATAATAGCATAAAACAATTATTTATTTTTATAAGGATGCAGAAATAATTATAAAACAAGATGGGGAAATAGTGTTATTGTGAAACCATATAGCATCAAAGACTTTTGCAATACACTATAGAACATAAGGGAACACAGTTAATTTCTTGATTTCTCCATTTTGAATGTTTTACATGAATTTTATGGTAAATTTTGGAGCATGGCTACCCAGAGGCTGTGGATTCTCCATCCGTAGAGGTTTTTAAGACCCAGAGAGACAAGCTCTCAGCTGGAATGATCTAGTTGGGGATGGTCCTGCTTTGAGCAGGCAGTTGGACTAGATGTGACCTCCTGAGGTCCCTTCCAACCCTCATTTTCTGTGGTTCTATGAATTGTGTGACCTATATGTTTATAGTTCTTGGTATATACTGATGTTCATGAGTATCTCTGAAATTTTTGGTGAAATGAGACTTGTACTTCTTTTCTCTTGTCATGCAACAGTGAATTAGTGGAATTAATGGACAGATAGTATCATGGTACCACTCTCAAAAAAACAAGAAAGCAAATAAGTTCTGCAAACTGATATAGATATCAAGTGCTCAAACAGCCTCTCTCTGGTTTTCATAGTAATATACATAGGATTGGAAAGAACATTGTGAATCATTGAATCTAGTCCCCTGTAATCTTAGGCAAATAAATAATATCATTAATCCCCTTCATAAACTTTTAAAGCTGGAAATTAGGGCTCGCAGATCTAAAGCCAAGGGTCTCTTTTGGAGTTTGCCAATGAGATTGTGAATTTGTGTTCAGAAGGATGCTAACTTGTTTTGCTCTTTCAGTGCTCTGAACAAAGGGTGGATGTTGCCAGCTCATTCGGATGCTATGAACCCCTTCAAAAGTGCCTTTGTGTTTAGCTATCTCATGCCCTTGAAATAGGGAGTTAGGCACTGTTTCATTGGGAACACTGACAGCCACGGAGAACTGCCTAAGCCTGCAGTTCTGTTCACAGCCTATGTGATTTTGTAGCACCTTTTCTTCCTCTTCAGGTTTCACAGCCAGGGCCAGCCCTGCAAAGTTCTGCTTTGGTTCATAATTATTCAGACTTTTCTTGTGCCTTTTTTGCCTGTCCCAGTATTCTACAGGATCTGCCCCTCACCTAGTGCTGGGGGTGCTGAGACTAGAAGTTCTCTACTATCACTAGGCCTGTTTATTAGCTTTTCTTTGGTACATTCTTTTCTGTGTAGTTCTCTCTTCTATATGGCCTCCAGAAAGCTGCTGGCTGTGGTGCTTCCCTAACCTTGCCCTCTAGGTTGGAGAAACCATGGTGCAAGGGTTTAAGATTTGGGTTTGAAATTACCGCACTCAGATGTTCAAATCCCAGATCAAAATCAGTTGATGTGGGAGAAATGGAGCATTGTACAGTTTGACTTGAGTCTTTCAAAGGAGGTATAAATTATGGAAGATCTCCAAGGCTTGCCCCTTTTTGTTTGCTCCTGTAAGTTTTGGATAACCTGCTCTCAGGCTGCAAAAGGGTCTCAAAGATGGACAATTCTGTGATCTCCCAACGGGATAATGCAATAATGGCATTCATTGAAACCTTAAGGCATCTGATACCTTAAGGGTATCCTTTTAGGACAAGAGATCATATTGGGTGGATGTTGTTTCAAGCTTTATTCTAATAATCCTTGAGAATCTAAAAAGTTAGAAGCTGAACTATCCGGCCAAAATGTTTCAGATGAGATGACCTAAATCCCTATGTTTGGGACCCATGTTTGCGGTCTGAATTTTAAGAAGTGTAGAGTACACAACCTCCTTCCCCGCGACACACACACACATGCTAAAGTCATATTGTAGAGCCTCAGAAAACCAGTTGTGACTATAAGACTTTTCCAAGTTGCCTTTAAAATACTTACCTGGTCAACATGATTTTGTACTCTGAGCTATATAATACCTGCTTTTATATTGTGTTTCTATGTATTTGCTCTTATAGTTGATTCTCCTCTGTGGAGGAATTCCTTTCCTTTGGAATGTGTCTGAAAAAATATCTGGTCGTGCTGGATTTGGACCTGAATATGAGGTAGGCAACTGTGCTCTTGAAAACAATGGGTTGTGAAACTATGGGTGCCTAAAAACATAAGTTGATCATGTTCTCATTTACTTTAATAAAAGCAGGGTTGGGGGGGCCCAGTGATTGTGTGATTAAAAGTACTACATATTTCTTCTGAGGACTGATGACAAGATGGAGTCTCAGTTTGTTATCTAAAATCCAACCTAGTCTCTTACAAAGGAGAGAATTGTCATCCACCATGTCTTTGATGTCCAAAGTCAACCAAGCTGGTGCTGTCAGTTTTCTATGACACCCTTTTGCAGTCTCAGAATGGATACAGGAAGGCCTTCAAAAACAGAAAAATTCTGAAAATATGTATTTTAAACTTGAAAACATTGTCTTCCTTCAGGGTCTTGCCTCTGAATTTTAACATGGCAGTCACTTGCCATGGTGAGTACATATCCCAACATCCTTCTTCCATAGTTCTAGGATTTCTCCTATTTTTTTCTGCTAAAATCTACCTTTTGTTGAATAGCCCTAGGTATAGGGCTGAGTTAACACCAGCAAAGTTGGTAGAAAGACTCTGGTGACTTCTGTGGACTCTGGTTCAGGCCTATAATTAAGTTTTACTTAATTTTGAGTCATTCAATAAGAACTTACTTGTGTGGTATATAGTGAGTGGAGAACCGGCTTAGACCCTCCTTTGCCTCTGAAAGAGACCATGTTAATATTATTGAGACTGAATGTAAGAATTGCTATACAGGATTAAACAACAATTTTATCTAATCCATTATCCATGCTGACAGTAAACAGCATCAGCTACTTTAGAGGAAGGGGTAGGACACTTGTAGCTATGGGATAGCCAGTCAAAAAAGATAACTTTTTCCCTAACCCCCCATGGACATTAACACCTGCCTTGTTACAAGAAGCTGCATATTTCTTTTTGGTCACTGCGTGCTAAAGACTGAATGACTGATGTTCCATTCAGTTTTGAGTCAGACCTACTTCCTCCTCCTTTCATCTAGAGAAGGATTTGGCAGTCTTTGGCTGGATCAGAGCCATTGACCTGGCCCTCTGTCATGGGCCACAACTCTGAACACGCCAGAGCACTCAAGCCACCTGTGTTTACCCTCCCCACAAGTGCTTGGCCACTCTGTATCAAAGGTAAACACAGGCACAGGAGAGCAGCAGAGAGGAGAGTGCTGTGAAGGATACAGGTGGCTTGGCACAGCTGTATTTTGCCTGATCCCCTGGGCCATGTCAGACCTTTGTAGGCCTGGAGTCAGCTTCTTTGCAGGCTGGATGTGGTCCATGGGCTGTAGGTTGCTGACTCCTGATCTAAGGGAGCTGAATCCTTCCTTTCCAGCAGTAGAAAGAGATGGCCTTCAAGAACATTGGAGGAAGAGTTGTCATTCTTCTTTCTCAAGGAGACTGGCACTCATCTTGACTTAACTAACGCTCATTGTCACACGGCAAATCCCTTCAGATTCCTCAGGTTCTTTATGGGACACAAGTAATTCAAGTACAGAAAATGCTCCTTTAGCCTGTGTATAGATATAAGGGTCTTCAGAGGATGCCTCACTGCCCGCTACAGATGCTAGGGCATGTGTCACTGTACCTAGATGACTAGTTGAAAAGCCCAGGTTACAACAGGACCAGGGAAAAGCTGTATTCAAAATCTGTAAGCTGCTGAACACAAATATGAATCATTTAAGAGAAATGTGCATTGGCCCTTACCAGCAGATCTCATTTTTGAGGGCACTGCTTGGGTTGGTCTGAGCTTGAACAATGTGCTCTGCTTTCAGTAAACCCCTACCTACCGTCAGAGCAGACTGGTCACTGTTTCCTAAGGGTCCTGCTACATGTTCAAATTAAAGCTGCATAGAAACCAGCTATAGAGTTGCACATTTTCAGGCACTAACTTTTGTAGCTGGTTGGCTCTTTCCATAGCTGGATAATCATTTTCATGGTGTGATAATTACTTAGTGTGTGTTGCTGGTCTAAATTTATTGCATGGTTAACCAGTTAAATGCATAACGTGTGACATAGCAGGGGCCTATGACTCATGAGTCTTATGGTATCTTCAACCAGTCACTTCTATGCCTGCTTGTTTATTAGATCTGTGGTGCACAACCTTTTGGCCCTGTGAGCTGGATAAGTGGTGCAAAGCCAGACTGAGGGTTGAATCCTTCAGGTGTGCTGGTCTTTTGGTCTGATGCAGTGTGGGGCTGGTGTGCAGGGTTAGCTTATCAGTGCAATCTGGCCCCTGATCTAGTTGCTGCCCAGCCCCAGGCACCACAGTGGTCCAGTGCAGGGGGGCTGTGTCATCAGGCCTGCAGGGCTCCCCACAGGTCCAGAACTTTGGTGCCAGGGAAGCAGCAGTAACATTAATTGCCACAGCTCTGGAAGCCAGATTTCCAGACCTGTGGGGAGCTCTTTGGGCCGATGGTGCAGCCTCTTTCAGTTTCAGTCTACAGGCCAGAGCTTGAGCACCATTGTATTAGATCATACTAGGACTGGGTAGCTCAGTGACATAACTCTGATGTAGATAAACTTCCACAGATACCTTGCTATCCCTCCACAAGTCCTGTGCCAGCTTTCTAGGAAGGGGAATCCAAGGTCATAGTTCTCAGCAAAAGTGCCCCTTACCCTTTCTGTCCTCACGGCCATGATAAATGCTTCCCCCACCAGGTCCTCTCCAGATTTACATATCTCTAAGAGGCTGTTCCAGTGGTACAAAAAATAAATAATAATTGCCTTATCTTTAGCTTGCATTTCTCTCTGTCTTTAGCAACTAGCCAGTTCCATTTACACTATTTCCATTACATCCACTATGGGTGGTAAGAGTAGTATTACTATTGGTAGTAAGAGGAATAACACTGATGTAGAAGATTTACAAGTAGGAATTCTCTTTCTTGGATTTAGATTGTTCAGTCATTGGTGTTTTTGCTGCTTGCTACGCTCTTCAGTGCAGTGACGGGCCTACCATGGAGTCTGTATAATACATTCGTTATAGAGGAGAAACATGGCTTCAATCAGCAGGTATTGTAGAATATACTTGTATTGAAATAACTTGAACACTACCAAATCAGTTTTAGTGATGTCGTAGGCATATGATGGTCAAGGAAATATGCAAGAGCCAAGGATTTTTGTGGGTGGTACCTTTTACTGGAGCCAACTACATGGTTGGGATAGACTCTAAAAACAACCTTTCTGCATTGCATCAGTATTTTACTGAAAATACCAGGTGGACAGATCTGTAACTGCCTTGGTTTGGGACCTGGAGATTCCTTCTGCCTGATCTCAGAGTATTTCCCATTATGTATTGATGCAATCTACTTATAGCCTATGGTAGTTTCTGAACATGAGGCAGCCATCCAGTTCGTTAACTTGCTGTACTACAGTAATACAATATGAATATCCTTTCTTTACAGACACTGGGATTCTTTTTTAAGGATGCCATCAAGAAGTTTGTTGTGACACAGTGTATTCTATTACCGGTGACATCTCTTCTGCTTTACATTATTAAAATAGGGGGAGACTACTTCTTCATTTATGCCTGGCTTTTCACATTGGTTGTTTCTTTGGTGAGTATGGAGATACATTTTTTTGTCTTTCAAATCCTAGTTTCTTTTCAGAATACAGTACACAGAAGAAACATTTAAATCTCTCAATCTTTATTATAATGCAATTGTGTATCAGGTGAATTTTTTATTTATTTTTTTTACGTTTTGGTTTAGGAAGTAAGGCGGTTTAATTCTCCAGTTTATACATCCAGATGTTGCATTTGCTGTCATCCACCACATAAACTCCTAGGAAACTAGGATTTAGAGTACAGTTGGCTTTTATCATGACTGTTAAGTTCAAGTTTTCCAGGACGCATTTCTTGTGTCTTATCATAAGTGTGATCTCTGTTCTTTGCTCCTAGATGCATGACCTTGCATTTGGCTATATTAAAGCCCAAGTAATTCTAATGATTTTTTTTCTAGATCACTGCTCAAGTTATTGAATAGCAAAGCTTAGTGATTTTTTTTTTTTTGAGGGATACAGTTGTTGAAAAATGCAAATTCATTGAAATAAGTTTTTCATAAAAATACTAGAGCATTTTGATAAGGCATTAAGTGAGAAGGATTTATGGGTCTAATGGGATTTCTAAAGTGACCTACCCCAGCCAAGAGCAGAGGGGTTAAGGTATTTATTCCAGAATATGAGAAAGCTAGGCCAGTGGGCTGTTGGCTCTTCTGGGGTGGGTTTCTTGTGTGTGTTTGTGCGGATGTCAAAATATCTCATTTTTATTCCGATGCAAATTGAAAACAAATTTGGGGGCTATGAAGTTTTATATAAATAAGTAAATTAAACAGCTAACATCTTTGTGCCTTTGAACACCATTGCCTGTTGAGTTGTTCATACTGATCTCTTCCTGAATGGTTAGTTAATTTAGAACCCATTAGTAGGTGAATAATTCAAATTGTTCCCCTCTGTGTGCACTGCTGTGCAATTACAGAAACTGAATTTCAGTATTCATTGTTTTGTGGACAGGCAAAGTCCAGCCCATTGGCCGGATCAGGCCTGCAGCAGACTCCATTTCCCAACGGCCCCTGCCCGCATTTCTGCAGCCAGTTTCCATGGAGACACCTGGAGACAGGATGGGGCCAGGGTTTCCATGGAGACTGGCCCCAGCAGTACTGGCAGAGAGCTGCTCTGGGGCTGGGATCTTGCAGCGGTGACTGGAGCTGGGGCAGAGCTGTGATTTGCTGCCCAGACACCCCAGGGGGGGCGGGTGTGGAATTACTTATGAATTACTTACATTTGGTCTCTAATTCAGAAGATTTGTGTCGAGCACTGAGTCACTGGAACATAGGAAAGTCGGGTTGGAAGGGACGTCATGAGGTTATCTAGCCCACCCGCCTGCTCAGGACAGGATCATCCCTAACTTAAATCTTCCCCATCAAGTGTCTGTCTAACCTACTTTTAAAGATTTCTGGGAATGGAGATATTACAACTATTCTTAGTAGCTTGTTCCAATGTTTGACCACCCACATAGTCAGAAAGCTGCTTCTAATCTCTAGCCAAAATTCTCCTGATAACCCATTGATAACAAACCTTAAATGATGTGAGATATGTAGCTTGTTTAAAAAAAAAAAAAAAGAGGGTATATTCCAGTTTTAATCAAGTTTCACAAGTTGGGCTGTGATGCCCTCTTCCTCCTCTTCCTTCCCCCCCACTGCTGCGGGCCAGGCAGGGCGACTCTGTGTGGTGCTGGAGGGGGACTCTTCCCCTTCCTCATCCCCTGCTGCAGGGTGTGGAGGGGGGCTCTGTGATGATACCCAGCCCCAGAGGGGGATTCTTCCCTCTCCTCCCCCACCCTCCTCACCACAGAGTCCTGCAGCTGCCTACCTCAGGGGCTCACTGTAGACACGCAAGCTCCCGCTGTGCCTCCGAGCCAGCCTGGGTAGCCTGCTGCCTGGCTAGCCGCTGCCCACATGTGCCAGGCCAGGTTGCGCTCACTGAGGGGGCTCAGCTTCCCTGTCACCGAGCTGCAGCCGCTGGGGCCTGGGTTGGCTCTGTGATGCAGCTGCTTTGGCCTGGGCAATGGGGGCAGGGTCCTCCCCAGTGGCTGCGGCTCAGCGACAGCCGGGCCCCTCACTCAGGCTAGGCCAAGCCAGGCAGCTCCGCACAGCGCGCCCCCCTCCCCACCCTCACATGTATTAGAAGAACTGAATGTAGAAATATTCTCAAATTTTAAGATTTAATTTTGCTAATGAGCAACTGCAGTTTAGTTCACCCAGGATTTTTCTGTGCCTTGTTTTAACACCCATGTTTGCTTTGTAGGTCCTTGTTACAATCTACGCGGACTACATTGCCCCTTTGTTTGATAAATTCATTCCACTTCCTGAGGGAGAGCTCAAACAAGAAATTGAAGTCATGGCAAAGAGTATTGACTTCCCTTTGACTAAGGTCTATGTTGTAGAAGGTGAGGCTCTTAAGTTTTTATTTGGAGGCCACAGATATCTAACCTTTTTAAATATTCTTTTAGCAGTTCATTCAACAAAACAACCTAGTACGTTCTGTCCAGGCATGTGGGATCCCTTTTCTATGGGAGTGCTGTCAACATCCTTGAAGGCATGTTATAACACTTTGTACCTTAGTGACCATTTAAATGTAGTCCAGTAATATGATTGTACATTCTTGATTCGGTTTTCTTATATGTAAGCATTATCATGATCTTGTCCACCATTATTTAAGAAATAGGTGGCAGAGCCAGCAATAAAACCAGGTCTCCTAGGTCTCACTTTAGGACCTTAAACAAGAAAGTATAGCGTTTTCTTTAGAGGTGCACTGATGCATCAATCCGACTCGGATTGGTACTGATACAAAGAAAATTTGGTGTATTGGATATCAGCACCATGGAGCCGATAATTTGGCTGATAAATGCCTGTGCTGCACACAGCTGCAGCACAGCATGTAGGCAGCAAAGAGCACGGCCCAGCAGCATGGAGAGCTGCCTCCAGCTGGTCAGTCCATTGTGGTGGGAGGAAAGGGGCTGGGGTGGTGCAGATCAATGCCCCTCTGCAATGTGAGAGAAGGCTGCCCAATCTGTGGGGGAGGGGTGTGGAGCTGTGGCTCATGGTGGGGGACAGCTCCTGCTGCTGCTTGCATCCTGGGAGGGCAAGCAGGGGTGGTGGGGAGGGGCCGATTGCCCCTGGATCCACATGGGCCAGGGGTGGGGGCTGCTGCGTGCAGCCCCAGCTCAATGCCCTGCCTCTACCCATGAGCTGGGAAGAGTCAGAGCTACACCGGGCAGCTGGCGGCAGCGCTGAGAGCGGAATAGTGGCAAAATTTGGGGTGGCTGCAGTCCCCTCCCAGTGCAGTTGGTGCCCAATTTGAGTCCCACCACCACCGAGAAGAGCCCCACGGAGCACCAGCTCCAGCTGGCAGCTGCAGCCTGCCTGCTGTCAAGGTGCAAGCAGCAGTGGGAGCCAACCCGCACAACGAGCCGCAGCACTGTCCTGGGTTCCCCCTCACCTGCCCCACTGGGCAGTGCCTGCCCCTTCCCTCCGTCACCATGGGGCGCATTGATCTGCCCAGCCTCCACCCATGCCCCTTCGCTCCCCCCTGATTGGTATAATTAACTCTGCTTATAATGATCTTTGATATAGTGCCAACTTAGTAACTAATCAAAAGCCCACTGTGGGAGTCTTTCCACCAAACTCATAGTGCTTTGGACCAGCTTTTATGGGTGGCGTTAGTATTGTAGTTCCAAATGGTACGAAAAGTTACTTCACATAATAATGAAATACAGGTGTTTTTTAGCAGGTTTGTTTTTCCCCCAAATATACCAAGGCTTTAGTTTTTAGTAAGTACTTCCCAACAAAAAGGAAAATATTGATTTGCATTTTCCAGCAGAAAAAAATGTCTTAAATAATTGTCTTGAAATTGACAAAGGATGAAGGAGGCAGATTCAGAGCAAAAGGAGGGTTGTAAGTTATCCAGCAAGAGAGTTCTTTTGTGCTCTCTGTATGCAATCTAACTTTTGCAATGAATCCATGCCAGTTTATGTAATGAGAGGACTCCCCTGAGAGATCTAGTAAACAGGAAGTAGCATAACTATATTTTAATGCACATAGTGTTTTGACCCTTGTTTTTCATGTAAATTTCCCCCACTAGGCTCCAAGCGCTCTTCCCATAGCAATGCTTATTTTTATGGCTTCTTCAAGAATAAGCGGATAGTGCTGTTTGACACCCTTCTAGAAGACTACTCTGCACTGAACAAAGAACCATCAGAAGGAAGTGAAGATGCTGAAGATGAAGAGACAAAGTCCAAAGTTAAAGTGAGCTTAATTTTTGTTCCCTTTTCATGTTGTTTTTCATAATTCCCCAGAGAGCTCTCCCTTTTGTCTTCTGCATGTTTTATTATAGGTCTGAATAAACTTTAAAAACAAAACCAGAATTGCACTTAAAACAAAACAACCTGATTTAATTACAAAAGCATCTTTGAAATAGTGATGTAAACGGGTTTGCTGGGGTTGTGCATGGGTATGACACCAGCAAGTCAAGCACCTCATCCTGAGATTCCTAATAACCCCTTGAGAACTCTGATAGTGTTTTTCTACCTCTCGAGGTTCTGAATGGTATGATCCTATGCCATTTCTTCCTTCACTAAGCCCAAGTTCATCACCTGTTTTCCATTGGAGGCCTCAAAATCTGCTTTTTTCCCTTTCCAATGTCTTTTCTTGGCAATCAGTGCCATAGTCTTCCTGTCTAAAGTCTTCAGGGACTGGGAAAGAGATTCCTCATTTCAATTCAGGAAGAACTTCCCTGTGCCTGTCCCATTACAGTTTAGCTGTGGGACAGGAAGCAAACCTGTTCTGTCTGACTAAAGCCTGAATTTATTAAACCCATTTGAAATAAAGTGACGGGTTTCACTTAACCCTGGATTTACCTATTATAAAGGTTTTCGGGAATTCACTCAGACTTGGACTTAGTATCTTGCAAATGATGTTTTTCAGTTAAGGTTGCCTCTTCTGCAGAAACGGCATAAAGAAGAAAGCTGGGTCAGCCAAACAGACCTTTCGCTTATCTGAAAAAAGCTCTCCCTCGGTCTCTCCCCTTTCCATGGAGCCCCCAGGGGGAGGTGGCCCATTGCTCATTACCCTGCTTCCTTTGAGGAAACAGCTCCTGGCTTCCACTTTGTTTTTTCTTTGCCTCAAGACCAAAGGTTTGATCTTATTGGACCATGTCTGAGCTGTAAAGCTAATGGTGAAAGTGTTTGGCAACACAGATATTTCCCAAATTTCCTTTTCACCAACAGAAGGAAAGGACTAAAAATCTCTCAAAGTAGGAAAATCAGTTTATTGATTAGTACTGTCAGAGATAAGCAAATTGATTTTCCCATTAGGGAATTTAGAAGAATTCTGCCTATGATTGGTTTACACACGCTCGTGCACACACAAATCACTATCTAGACCAGGGATTGGCAACTTTTTATGAATGCAGATCACTGCTTACAACCCACCCAATGCTGTCTGTGGGCTCTACCTCTGCTGCCACACCAGGTGTGCTTAGTGCATGCCTTCCTAATGGAGCTTCTTGGCTTATGTGCTACACCAACACCAAGTGGAATCAGCACAGCTGTGGTGGGAATCAACATATCTGGTGTTGAGGATGTCAGTAAAGAGCCCTCAGCACAGAGCAAAGGGAGCTGGGACAGTAGCAGGTAGCTTGGGAATGCAGAACATGGCCCCTCTAAATTGAACTTCTGGGGCTTGTTCATTTTTTCTCTGTCACCAATTCCCTATCTTCTACCTCCCTCCCACCAGAGGCTGGATCCAAGTTCTTCATGGGTTGAATCTGGGTCCAGTTGCTGTGGTTTGCCAACCCCTGATCTATATAACATTGTTCTAAAGCTTCTAAGTACAACAGAGTTATGCATTGTAGATGGCTGTATGAATCTGTATAAAAAAGGGATAAAATCAGACTATTAACTTTTTTGTTTCCCTCTGTTGCTAGGAGGAAAATAACCTCACTTTGGGATGGGAAAAGCAAATTAACAGTTAAGATATTGTAGGTAATGGTGATACTAAGATTTTTTTCTCCCCTTTTTTGCTGTACGCAGAATAAGAAGCAAGGTTGTAAAAATGAAGAGGTTTTGGCTGTGCTTGGCCATGAACTGGGTCACTGGAAGCTAGGTCACACCATAAAAAATATCGTCATCAGCCAGGTAAATATTCGAGGGGTGTCTTTGAGTATCATCCTAATTACTGTATTTTGTAATGCAGAATTGTCTTACTACTTCATGCGTGTCAAACTTGTTCGTTATGCTCGTTAATCATGCTGTCAACTGCAAAATGGCCATCTCTCAGGCAGAAGTCTTGGGAGTGCTGTGGGCCATTCAGCTCTGTTGGTTCTTTGTCTGGTTTGGGAGGGGGTATTGCAGCTCCTTGACCACCCTGGTTCTCCATTCCTTCCCTACTCACTGAATTTTGGGGCAAAGATTTTGGCTCTGGAATTACCTCAGCCGTTTTCTTGAGTTGCTCTAGTTTGCATCCACTCCAGCCTGTCTGACTTGAAAACAACCAGCTTCTTTAAATCATTTCTAACATATTCTGCCACTTCAGAATAATTAGGCCAGCCTCTATCTAGGCTGTCATCTAGTAGGTGACCTTATTTGTGAAGACTGAAGTAGAAAAAAAAGGCAAATACTTCAGCTTTCTCTGCATCATTATTGGACTGCACACTGCATTCAGTTGGGGACTTACACTGTCTGTGGTCTTCCTCTTACTTGTGACTTGTATGCTTTCTTGTTTTGTTCTGTTTAATCTGTGACCTGACCCTCCTGATTTCTTTCTACCTGCCCATACAATTTTTTTATAGTCCACCCGAGTAATATGGCAGTTTCCATTTTTTGTAAGACTCCTTTTTGATTAATGGACACTAACTTTATAATTATGTTGCAGAGCTACATCATGAAAGCTGGAAAGTCAAGGACTTGAGAATTGGGAAATTCAGTTAAGATTGACTGCAGTCTTAAGTCAGCCACTTTGTGTACATTATAAGAGGTTTTTAATTGCCTAATGACATGCTTTTTTCCCCCAACAATACATTTATTTCAGATTATAACTGTAACATAAGAATTTTAATCAATAACTGTATGCTAAACTAAAAGGCCCATTTTAATGGGAATATTGTTTCTTTCTAGATGAACTCCTTTCTCTGTTTCTTCTTGTTTGCTGTATTAATTGGACGGAAGGAACTCTTTGCTGCATTTGGTTTCTATGAGACCCAACCTACCCTAATAGGCCTGATGATTATCTTCCAGTTCATTTTTTCACCTTATAATGAGGTAAATAACAGCTTTTATGAAAAATAATCTGTTTAAAAGAGAGAGAGTTGAATATCAGACTGCTTAGGTAATGACTTAATCATTTTTCCTGGTATTATTATTACAGGGAATTGTTTGGAATTTCTGGTGGCAGTATTATGTAAGCAATTCACCTTAATATTGGTATGGTTAGTGGTCTGGAAATCCTATTGTAATTTACTGCAGCAATCTCTGAGTGGTGTGAGTAGGCAAGATCATAACACAAAAATATAGGTTATTTATTTATGTGTTAGATTTATATGCAGCCCTTTCCAGCAAAAGCTCACAGTGGTTTACAGTAAGAAACAGAACATAAAAGAGCAAATGAAATATTAAAGTAAAAAATGAAACATGATTCAGTCTAAGAAAGGCAGGCAGATAATGCATTTTTAGAAACAGTTTCAGGCCATGATTGTGTCCTGCACTATAACCTCTATTTTGCAGTAGAAATCATTTTAAAACTATGTAAAAATCAAATAATAAAAGGCAATTTTAAAACAGCTTCCTGGGGGAGTGTCAGTAGAATGAATTGAGAATCACTGAATCTGTGACACATGACACAAATGCAGTTTTTCTGGTTTTAGTTTTTTAAAACATGGAGGCTTCCATGCAAAAGTGTTTTATAAAATACATTTTAGGTTTGATTTTTTTTTTTTTTTTTTTTTTTTTT